TCATCCAGCAGGTTTAACTGAATTGGCAAAGAATTTGGTCTGAATACAGTACTTTCCTGCAGTGAAACCTAATCCTTTTACAATGGAGTCCAAAACCGTTGGAAGAGTTCAGAAAACACTGACACGTCTGCAGAAGCAGTGTACACGAATGGGAATAATGCCATGTGCGGTGCAGTCATTTGTGCTGAAATATATCACACTTTAATGACACTGGCCAGGACAACTTCAACTTCAGTGTAGGTCCACCTGCACCCAATGTGTAGCCATCCATAACTTTACGGTAATAAACTACATTTTGCAGGGCATGCTGACCTGTGACGTGGCAATTCTTTGTGCTCTCTTCCATATATAGTAGGGTGTCAACTTTGCTATTTTCAAGAGTAAGCTGGCCCTTACAATGAAAAAAAGTCCTTTAGTTTCTCTGCAATTCAGTTAGTAAATGGAGGCAATTTATCTGCCAATCTGGTGTATGCCATTTATTTGTAGCGACAAGGACAACTGGAAACAGTTAGCACGGGGATGTGAAGATCCCGCGCTTCCTATCCTCACCCTTTGCCCCCTCTTCATGATTAATTTTTCAAGAGACTGAATTGTTGGACCATTTCATTACATCGATTTGTATTACGAATTTGACAAGATTATTTTGCACTGAACAGATCAAAATGAAAACATTGGCTTCTGCACTCACCATTGCCATTAACATTCAGAACTGTTTTAAAACAATTCTCTGCCCAAATATTCATTTACATTGTTATCCGGGTGCAAATATAATAGGTTTTGTTTATTGCAGAATTATATTTTTGAAAAAAAACTCATCATAATAATATCCCTTTTGGACCCCTTGATAAAAACACTGCTGATCTCTAGTCTCAGTAGTGCAGTAAATCAATGCAGTGACTGTGCAAAAGTGCAACATCAAGTTCAAAGAAAGTGCCAGTTCTGACCCTGGTTTGTACTGAGTTAGCTGGGCAAGCCTCTGGCCCATTTGTGAAGTCTAAATCCAAGCAGTGAGATGCTCTCACTAAGTGGATAGCAAGAACTCTCTGTCAGCTTCCTGGTAAGCATAAAATCTCAGCATGAACAGCGTGACAGCATTGCCGTGATCCTTCTGCCCACAGCTCTGACACACGTACCTATCTGTTGAGTGATGGACCAGAGTGAGGGCCACCAATGCCAATGGAATGAGCCTCACAGAGTCACTGAAGTCTATCGCACACTGAATACTTCCAATACCTGCTTATAATGAGATGTCCCACTGTCTTCAGGAAAGAAAGAGGAAAGGGCAGAACATTTAGAATTAAACAACAGAAAAGAAAGGATAACTACAGGTCTAAGAACAAGAGAGCAAGACAGCATGGTTTTTAAGAAATGTACACAACAAATTCTAAAAACAAATAGTATTTGACCTTCAGAATTCGGCAGATTAATGAATTTTCCCGTCAAATCAATCGAGCAGACAGATGACCTCAGGCATCAATCAATAAATTCCTAGCAGTAGTTTGAATGGAATTCCTCCAGGTGGGCAGGATCAGATGAATGTATGCACAAGTCAGATCCCTCATTTGTAATAATGGGAGTCAAGCCAGCTCTTTAAGGCATGTAAATTCTCCTTGTACAGATAGGGAATGCATCTGCGTGCAGCGATGCTAAAGAGGCGATCTCTCCAAAGGCGTGTAATTGATTGTAGACAGGGATTTGGTAATTCAGGGCACCTGCAGTTAACAATCTCCTAGCTGCTAATTTGCTAGCAAGGTTCATTGCTCCACCTATATCCTGTTTACTTGGGTGCATTCAGTTTGCATCCAATTGCTCTAAACCAAATCCTGCTGCTATCAATTACATAGTATTTAAACACAGAAAACTAAGAACCCAAATCCAAAGCATAAGAATTCAGGGCCCCAATATGTCTCATGGTGTTAAAAGAATTCTTAAACTCAGTTTTAATATTGAAGTCAGCATTCAAAACACAGACAGCAACAACTTAAATTTTAAGACAATGGGTTTAAGTTAAAACAATGAGACATTTTGAACATCTGAAGGACAATAGTTATGCACAGTGTCATCTCCGAGCTTGTGTCGTGAACAGCATACAGTCGCCCTATCTCAGTTGTTGTGGTGAATAATCTGATTCAATGGCACTGAATTATTTTACAATAGCTGGATATCAAGCAACTTCAACTCAGAGCGGCATTAACCGTGTGTCAGGAGCTTGTATGTTTTACTCTGCAATAAGGTTGCAACAACAACAACAAGCATTTAAATAGCGCCCTTCACGCGGGGTAGCGTCCCAGACCACCTATCTACTTCTCGTCACAAAACACAGGCTCAGCAAACTCAGAAGCAGCTCAAAGGGGTTTTGAAACCAAGTGAGTAGCCCCCTTGTAAATAATAAGTGAATTAGCACACCAGTCCTGTGCAGTACTTTGCTGAGGCGTGTTTGTAATCCACTTTTCGATGCCATTCATGCATTCATCTGAACAAGAAGGCTGAGGATTATGATTTTTCCTAAAGCAATTAAACAACTGAATTCTAAACTTCAATGTAACTTCTGATGCAACGTGCTTCCCATATTGTATGATTCAAAGCCACAAGGCAATATGACTACAGATCAATAATTAATTGCCTCATTTGATTCCTGTAGCTCAGTGGTTAGAGCACTCGCTTTGCAAGCGAGAGACCTGAGTTCAATTCCAGGCAGGGCGAAACCTTGGGCAAGTTTCCTTACTCCACACGCCTAATAATAATCCCTCCAAAACCAAAAACAATAATAAATTGGTCATTTTCAATCTACGACTGTTTGTGGGACATTGCTGTGCGCAATTGGCTGCCGCGTTCGCCCACAAATATACAGTCAATTCACTTTACAGTGTGTTCTGTGAAGCGCTTTGGGACGTCCTCCCGACATGAAAAGCGCTATATCAAATGCAAGGATTATTATTATCTTCCACTGCATGTTTTTATCAATGTAGCAGAATTTCAGAGGAGTGTTGGTGAAAATCGGCATTGCATGGTACTGTACACGTGCTACATCCGTTTCCAACTCCGCCATTGTTAAGCACTGAGACACTATCCCGCATTACACTATTCTGCAGAATACCACCAGTGATGTAGCACAACAGTAAGAGTTTGTGGATGCTTTGCTAATTGACCATTGGAGTACTAGGGTATCCACATGAATTATCATTTTTAAAATTATGTAAAACAAATTCTAATGTTAGATTGGCACCGGGACAAAAGACTACAGAATTAAAATTGTGATGTTAATTAACACAACAAATCTGTTAAAAAACCATGACATTTTCCTGCCAGTAACTAAAGACTGGAATTGTGTGAAACTTCCCTACCCCCTAACTGGTTTACAAAAAGTCCCTACCTTTTTTGAATAATGCCACAGAATCTTTGAACATTCACGTGAAGAGGCAGACAGAACCTTGGTTTAATGTTTCATCTAAAGAACAGCACTTCTTACAGTGCAGCAAACTCCCAGCACTGCACTGAAGTGTTAGCCTCGACTGTGAGCTTGGTTGGCAATGGTCAAATATTTGTACACCTGCACTGTTTATAGTGCTGCTTCACGGGAGACTGGCTTAATTTATATCTGTTAAGAAACAGCACAGTTGTGACCCACGCATTGATATGAAATCAATATTTACTCCATAATCCAAACCATTACAGAGCCTCATTTTATACAATCCACGTTCAGCAGTTTCACTTCACTTTAAAGTACAAAAATAATACCATTGACTAAAACTAATCCCTTTGTAGAAAATATTGCTTCATCTTCAAACTATCACTGGACAAACAAGTCACCAGTCTTCTTTATTTAAAGAGTTGTGGTGTGAGGTGATCATTATCTTGAAGCTCTGAGTACCAACAATGAATCATCTGTTTACTCCAACAGCACTGTAGGTGTGTGTGTATGGTGGGGGAGGGAGGATAGAGCAGGAAGTGGACAGGTTGGGAGGTAGAGTTTATAGATCTCATAAATTTCTATCCGTTTATTTCTAACACTATATAAAAAGGGCCCTCAGACCAATTAAATGCCATCTGTAAGTAATTGAACAAGTCTAAAATAAATGAATTAAGTTCCACAAGTCTCCAAGCCACTCCTGTGTGCTCTCAAGTAAATTGTATTGAAAACCATAGGCCTTAAACTAATTGACACAAAAAAGAGGAGTTACATTAGTATTAGCTGAAGTTTCTTTATTATAGATAAAAGATAATCACAGATCTATGAATAGAGTAGTTATTCAAAACACTGTTTTGTTTCTGTTAGAACCACCAATTATACCAGATTCTCCTGATTCTCTGGGTGGTGCACATAATGAGCATGTTTGTCAGCAGACAGCACCCAATCTTTTGAAGTTACCTTTGGCTTCAAACCAATCTAATTTTACTGAAACCAAACCCAGATTTCAAAGCTACTTTCTTTTTGCAATTAGACTGGACCTCCTTAATCTTAAATCATACATCATAAAAAATCACCTCGATCAACCTGAGATTGAAAAACCCGGAAAGCTCATCCCTGTCAGCATGTCACTGAACATGAAGGGAACCTAATATTCACACAAACACAGAGTGGCAAGGTTAGAAATGACTTGTTATGTCAAGGTTATACATCAAACATCCATTGTGTTTAACAACAATTATGTACTGTAGAGTGGTTTATTTCTGTTGTAAAATGCCACTGATTATGGTCCCTCCTAAAAAGATCAATGTAATCACTTTTAAATGAACCTTGCTGCAGCAGTATTATTTTGAAGCAGAGCAGTAGTGTTGTACCAGTCAAACCATTGCTATGGAACAAAACTGTCATTAAAACACTCACAAGGTTGCATTAGTCAACAGTGCCTTCCTGAAACTGCTTTCATCAGACAAGATAAAACAAATATCCACAGAATATTGTGTGCTTAAAGTCTCAACAAACATGGAACCCTAATGCAACTCCCCCATCCTTCCACCCACATCACCAAGACAAAGAAGGATTTGATTTTTCTTACCATTTTTGCTTCTGAAGGTATTTGCTGGATTTGCGGAGGAGTGCAGGGATTATTTAGGGAAGGGCCTGGCATTCCCATGATATTAGAGCTCAAGGACATCTGCCTATCCATCTTTAAAAAATAAAAAAGCAGCAATTTTAAAAGAATACCACGAACAGATGAACATTTGATGTTAACAATAAAAAAGTGCATCAGTAATTTTTGACAGTGTTTCTGAGATTTTAACAAAGGCTGTATGTATTGCAACCAATGCTAATTGCCAATGTTTTGGATAATAATAATCATAATAATAATCCTTGCATTTTATATAGCACCTTATCACATTGTCGAAGTGCATAAAAGCACTTCAATGGATATACTGTAAAGTGCAGTGATTATGTATTTTGTGGGCAAAATACGACAACCAAATACGCAAAACAATGTCCCACAAAAAGCCATTGCGTGAGTGACCAATTTTGTTCGGAGGATTGTTGGCCAGGTCACTGAGAGAAACTCCCTTCTTTTATTGAATTGTGCCATGGGATCTTTAACGTCCACCTGAACAGGCAGACGGGGACCTCAGTTTAACTTCTCATGCGAAAGATCAAACAATTAGACTCCATAAAGAATTGGGGATTCTTTTATTGCTTAGGAATTGATACATTGTTTATTAAAACGTCAGTATATTCCTCAACAACAAAGATGAAACAACATAAGGAAATTACATTTTACGTGAAATTATATTCTTATTAGCACGTCACCATCTGCTCACATGCCAAAATGCCAGATGATTGCAAATGGCTCAGTGAGTAAATGCACCACAACATTTATACAGAATCATATAAACTTAAAAGGTCCTTGGTTCAATGCATGACCCCTGCTGACTAACTTTTCTCAGCCAACTACTACAAATAGGGAGTGGGAAGGTATGATATCAGTCAAGAGTTCCTGCTTATGATCATTATCCTGTGACTCATGCTGGAAAGGAGAATAGAGCTGGGCTAAACTATAATGTTCCTGGGTTGAACAGCCGAGTGACGTTCACTGTAAGGCTCACACATAAAAGGGTGAAAATCAGGATTTTTAACTAGTCTAGGCTGACTCTACGGTGCTAAGAGTACACTGAGTAATTGGAGATGCCGTCCTCCAGATGAGTCCCATGGCATTATTTGAAAAGAGAAGGGGTTTCAAGTGGTGTCCTGGACAACAAGCCTCCAAATAAAATTGATCGTTCATTCACTTCAAGCCTGTCCTTGAGACACTGTGTACAGATTGGCCCTGCATTCACCTACAAAATACACAGTTACTATATTTTACCATATATTATGTAAAGTGCTTTGAGATGCCCTTTCAGTGTGAAAGGCAGGGATTATATTAATATCATTGTGCAATATTCATCATCATAGTTACTGCCAGTTCTAATTATCGCATGTGATAAAGTACAATCCAAACCTTGTCTTTTTCCATTGACACATTTGGGAATGAATTCTCCCCCTCTCCCCTCCCCCCCCAATAATTTAGTCTGAAGTGGGACACATTCTCTCTGTGCTGCAATCTTTGTTTTTGCCACAGTTGATCTGGGCCTTTCAGTCCCATTGCTCAAATATTGTCACAATTCTGACTGGGACACTCCCGACATGAAAAGAGCTATACAAATGTAATTTGTTGTTGTTAAGCCTATGTTGTATGTAATGGAGACTGAAAATCCCAAACAGGGCAGCAAAAACAAACTACTGTGCCAAAGTCAAACCTTCAATAATGAACACCAGATCTGGGATTGCACTTTTAACGATTTGACGGTGATAATTATCATATCAAATATTGCAGTTTCCACCCAAAACATAAACATGTGGATAAAGCATTAAAGGGCTGCAGGTGTTTGAGGAGTCGTAGCCCAGCACAAGCCACAGTCTTTGTCCAAGGAAGGTAGAAGGGAGGAAAAAACAATAAGTGTAAAGCAGCAGATTTGCCAATGGACTTCTTCGGGTTAACTCACAATGACACTTTCTAGAGAAAAATCATGTTTCTTAACTAAATCACCATGAGTCAGAATTAACAAAGAAATTAAATGTATCCAAAACACACAACAAATCTTAACAACGAATTCAACATCTGAGAAGTTGAAAAGGTGAATAGCTGTGAATTTAAAATCTTAACTTTTTTTTCAGTGTTTAATATAAATAAGCAGACAGTAGTTTCCTCATCAGAGAATTACATTTTACGATTTACAATTTACAATTTACAATTTCACATTAAGAGAACATCTCAATGTGCTTCACCCAACTGACTGGAAGCTCGATCTGTGAGGTGGGAGCTGAGGAAAGGAAAAGTGGCTGAAAGCATGGTTGAAGAGATAGGTTTTGATGGTGGAGAGTGAGGGGAATAGATAGAGGGACTCTGGGATTGAGTTCCAGTGAACAGGGGCAGAGTGGCTGAAGGCTTGTCCTCCAACAGTGATTGGAGTGGGTGGGGAATATGATCCAGGCTGAGTGATGTCTGCTGAGTTACAGGAGAACACATATTGAGATGTTTCAGTCAAGTCTTTGAATGAAGCATTCAATATTATATATGTATATGCTTTTAGATAAAACACCATGATATATGTTACCTGTTTTTAAAATTGTAGGAACAATTCTTTATCCTTAATATGCTGGACTACAACAGCAAATGATCAAACAGACATTCAGACACTGAATGAAGATCATCCCATACTAGATACATAATTTTACTGCCAACTCGCTGAATTATTTTAAACAGATGGTACGGATTTCTTGGTATTTTACTGGTCAACAACCATGACACAAAGTGAAAAGGGTTCCTGCTTACAATGTTTAGTTCAAGAGAAGGCTCAGATGGGAATAAGCAAATAAACAAACCCACCCAAATATGGCTCAGCTTCAGGTTTCATGTAAAATGTTAAGATTGCTCTGTTCTTCAGGAAATTGGAGTCCCAACTGACCAAATATGTGGATGTGAGCCGAGTTTTATTTTGTGTTGATGTTGGCTGTAATGTTAGTGGTTTTAATTTGATGGGTTGGGGTCAATTAAGAATGAAATCATCTGAAAAATCCAAATGTAGGATAGGTTCATTCATCCCTAATATCAGTGAACACAGATAACAGAGACATTATAACAATAGCCTGTGTGTCAAATCTACAACTAACAAAACAAATATAAACCATAAATATTAATATTAACCCTTACCACCCCAGGGTACTGGAAACTATTCTACAAATTATGTTAATATATTTTGAGGCTGCATCATTGGATTTATACATTTGAGGGTTTAACATACATGTTCTAATGCTAAGATTGAGAGCCAGGAGCAGATAATGTCTATCCTGTTGAACCACAACAGTAGTCAGGTGGGAAAGTTGCTTTGCTTGTCATTTAAGGAGTGAGGAAAACCTTGCTCACTAAAAAAAATCTTATGAGTTCAGGAGGGGAAAATTTGTATATTTTAGCTATATGCAACAGCAACCTCCATTTATATAATGCCTTTCACTCAGGACAGCAGCTAATTAATAATAAATATGCATAATAAATGGTCACCTGGACCAAATACCAACAGCACTTTACAAACCCATGCATGAGTTGTTGCCTTTAGTAGAGAATAGAGGGGAGAAACAATTGAATTTAAAAATAACTTTTCAAAGTTGGTAGTTTATAAATGTTCAGCACTCTCTTGCCAGGAAATCATTTTAACCTTGGTTAGAAGGAAGAGTGATACAACAATATTTTTTAAAGAAGAGCTGTGAATCATTGTCACATTGAACAGGATCCCTTTAATAAGATTATTATTAATTAGGCCCTAATATAATTTTTTTAAGAGGTTAAGATATTAAAACACTTTTTTAAGCATCTAAATATTTGCACCGCAAGTACAGTTATCCAACCCTGGAAATCTAGATTTTTGAATGTTAAGTTTATGTAGCAAATAAAAAAGTTTTCAGTTCAGATAGTTCTAAGTTGAGGAAAGAGCTCTTGTTTTCAAGAATCTGCTCCTCTCAGTAATCTCGAAACTAAGGCAGGAAACGGTATAGTAATGGAAACATCCACTGTGACCTTGTAGCATCCGTTACTAGCTTCATGGCCCTGTGCAAACTTACTGAGAATGAAGGCAGATTGCTGCAATTACCCAAGTGATGCCTTGACCTGTTTGCATCTGAGATGTTGCAAAAATGCAGTTTTAGTGTTTTATTTCAAGTATTAACATGTCAATCTTTTTTAAAAATGGTTGGTCTACAAGGACAAGTTCTAACATTTTAAAATACCAAAGGTAAATTTTAAGTATAATAATTATAGTAAATCTTATCATAAACTTGTGAGAACCAGCAAATGTAATCAAGTTCAAGGTTTATCTTATCAAGGTTTACGCTGTTGTACAGTATCAAAGCTTTAGTGGAAAAGTGAATGGAAAATAGGTTAGTTATAATGATGAGAGTCGACTGCTTGTGTGTGTTTTTTACAAATCAAAGGAAAAGTTTCCACTGACAAATAGATGGTGTGGTCATACAGGAGAAGCACAAGGACTGAAGTGCAGATCCAAATGTAAATAAGCTGCAGTTATCAAGTAGGCTAACTTCATGTCATTCTGCCACGTGTGGATTTGAAATTATTTTTGACAATTTTGAAATGACGTATTAGGGTTGAATATATCTATTATCTAATTTGCAATATTTGGTGGGAAACGCTTATAGCAATTTTCAAAAGATGCCAAATTTTTTTTAAAAAATTCCAGGTGTGAAGCAGCATTTTTTAGAGTTGTCCATTTTGCTATCAGAAATCATTGACTCAAATCCAAACTCTCAGGCTTACTGAAGGGCTCAACACACTCTTGTGAATTTTTGCAACAATTGTAAATTGGGCTCAGTTTGCTCATTCAGCACTTCCAAAAAGCTACTAAAGAAAAGCTGCCTTTAGCTTAGTGTTTTTCAATGACTAAGCCACAAGCGCCAGTGCTGCTCCATGAAAACCTCATACTGGTCTACACCAGTCTCTGTAGTTGTATCCATAGTATGGCACTGGAGTGTCTGCCAAGAACCCACATCCTTTCGACTCGAAAGGTATGAAAAGTAGAGAAAGTAGTACCAACTGAACCAGATCAATACACATTATAAGTAGGAATTGAG